CTGCTCAAACCTCAAGGGACCAAGTAGTCTAGGTACCTCATTAAAAGCTCCCAGCCCTTGGAGACGGTCAGTTATGCAGCAGTCACCGGGACAGTCGTTACTAGATCCCTTCCCTCTGGGCCCTCCCTATTTTCCCCTGAAGCGCAGCAACAGCACTACCAGGATGATGAAAAATATATGTATACATAAGCACACATGTGCAATATAAGCAGAGTGTGTGTGTCCTGAAAGTCCAGTGGGGTTTGAAGCTTTCAAGTGTCAGATGTATACTTGCTGAGCAGTGACATGAGACATTGTTGGAAAGTTTGTTTATATTTTTTATACTCAGAGTTGGGATGTTTGAAAAATCAATTTTAATTTTCGATGCCAGTATTTGCTGTCTTCAGTCTGAGGGACTGAAATAATAGTAATTTCAAATAATATTTTTAAAGTTTCTATTATTTATATTTGATATTGCTAATGATTAAAGGTGAACATAAGAGCTTGGGTAGAAACCTTTATTTTCTTGCCTTTCTGAGCACCATGTGCATTCTCCATCTGCCTGTAGTCCTGCACAAAACTGCACGTTTCAGCCTGTGGTGATTGTTTGGAAGTCTGTCGTCTTCACCGGACAGTAATCTCCTTAAGGGCAGGGACCTTATTTTGCTCCCCTTGGCGCATTTAGCCGTGTCTTGGTGTTAACTGAATGAAGAGCTGAAAGATATTCCTTCTACTACATCTTGCAGTCCATTTCCAGTCTCCACCTCCTCCCACTTCTCACTTCTGAACCCGACCTGATCAACACAGCTTGTGTCTATTCTGTGGGCTGTGTTCCTGCGAAATAGCTTCACCTGGTTATCTCATTTGAGCAGTTCCTTCATTGCAAAATACTTTTGTTAGCATGCCAATTATATTGGTTCTTTTTTTTTTACCAAATTTTTCCAGTATGGTTAAATAATTATTTGGACCCCATCATAGTCTATAGGAAGATCTAGGTAGACTCAGGTGCCAGATAAAGAGCCTCTCTTAGAAACCTAAGAATTTTATGGCATAGAGACCCACATTTAATGCCTCTTCTCACAGTATTTCCTGAAATGTACACACACACACACACACACACACAGGCACACACACCCTCAAAAACTAACCAACATGTAAGAGGCAAAAAGAAATCTACTATTTCCCCAGGATTTTGCAATGAAGGAAATGCTACAATGAGGTAAATTCTAGAAGAGGTAGTCTTGATGTATTCATGAAGAAAGGTGCCTGACCCAAGACCCTGCTGGCCCTAATGTCTCCCCACTGAGTCAAGGATCTGCACACCACCAGGGAGGGGGTGATCATGATCTTTTAATTAACACCTTTGAATCTGAGGGAGGGGCAACATATGAAATACAGTAAGTAGCACTGTAGGAATAATTGCTCCTGTGTGTGTGTGCGTATAAAGTAATCTAAGTGTTGTACACTGTTTGTTGGTATCAGTAGATTTTCCATTGTTATAATTTATCACATCCCTTAGAATCAACTCTCCCTCCACTTTTTTGTTGGGGATAATTTTCTCCTTGGTGATAGGGAAGGAGAGAGAAACATACGGCCTAACTCTTTCTCGGTTCAAAACCTCTAAAGAATTCAGTGGGATATAAACATTTATGGTCTTTCAGTGAGTTGAGAAATCCCAGGAGTTAGTTAAGTCAGTGACAGGAGGAAACCTTGAACGCATCACGTATCTGATCCCTCCAGAAGGCCTATTTCTTTTTTCATTTGCATGGGGAGGGGGTGGGTTCCCAGATAAACTGTGTCTGTGTTGGACAAACTGCAGCAATGAATTTCAGGCAGGAAAGGAACATAATTATTTACACAGCGAAAATGGCAGGGCATTAAAAGACATCTGCCATTTTGATCTGCCAAAAGCAATTAAAGGGGGGAAAAAGTTCCACAGAAATCTGCTTGTGTATCTTCAAATTATAAAAGTAAAAAACCAGAAGTGTCTTTGAATGTTATTTGGTGCAGCTCATAAAAAAAAAAAAAGTACTTAGTTTAGACAAAAAAAAAAAAAAAAGATGTTTGCCAATTGGTCCAGTTGGGGTGAATCTTCTTGGCTGTCTTCCTTACTCAGCCAAATCTGCTTTTCATGCAGACTTATTTTTTGGTCCGTTTTGTTTTGAGGTGTGTTTTTTAAAGCAGTTCCAATGAAACTGAATGTATCACGTATCAGAGCTCATTTGATCTGCAACTGGCCCATCTGAGATAATATGCTGCAAAATAAATATGTGTGGAGGCCGGAGGCCATCTCCTCCTGGACCCAAGCCCTAGCTACCCAGTGTAACTTTGTGAACTAATCAATAATGCATGGATGGAGGGGCCAGTGATGTGCATTGACTCCTTCAGAACACTCAGCCCGAGGTGCAGGTCATAACATAACCATTTTCCCCATAATAATAACTAATCCCTGAAAGTTCTGAAGCACATTACATGGTTTTGGCGTTTGTTCCTTTCCATCCACTCTTTCACTTTAATCCAGACATTTGGTCAACCCACTTAATGTCGGGATAATCCCTGCAGAGAGCTCACATTGTAGTGGGAAACAGGCAGGGAAATAATTGCTTAGAAAGGAGAATGACAAGAAAAATGCTACAGGTTAGTGCAGCAGTCCTGGAGCACAGAGGAGGAAGCCCCTAAGATGGGCTGGGGCTGGGGCTCCCTGGCCACGCTTCACCTAAGGGACTTCATCTGCGGTGACACGTGAAAGGGGGAGCAGGGGGCATGGACAGGTGAGAGGCGGCCTGAAGTTTCTGGAGCTTAAGCTTCCAGGTAGCAAGAGGAAGGAGGTAAAGGCCAAGTTCACAGGGTGGGGGCGGGTCATATAATTCCTTGCTGTGAAGTGTCAGTTAAATCCATAGGAGATGGAGAGCCAGAGGAGAGTTTTAAGAAGAGACATATTCAGGTATGTTTATTGGTAAGGACTGATTTAAGTGGTAGCAAGACTGGAGTCAGACAGGCCTGTTTGGGGACCCCCGTGGTAGTCACAGGTCCTCTGTGCGTAGGTCAGTCGTTATGGAAGTCAGCTCTGCTTTCACATTATGACTCACTGAGCCCCATGGGCTTTGGGAACTCCCTGGCATCGGGGACCGTGTCTTCTTCGCTGCTAAAGTCCCACTCCTAGGACACTTCCCAGCACACGGGACATGAGAGCAGCTCATTTGCCCGTGATTATGGAGGGACGGAAAGGAGATTGTGATAGAACTAGGAAATACCGAGCTTTTGATGGAAGCCACACCGGCACTAAATGTGGAACACACATCAAGGGCAGGGAAGGTCAAAGGAAGTAGGGGAGGTGTTTCAAGGTGTCAAGGGTTACACTTTCAATTTGTTGCCTGGAAAGTCCTAAGAGTACATTCGTTGTTATTATAATAGAAACGTATGGCAAGCTCCTAAAATTGTCCTCTGCTGCTCATCAATAGACAATGTGCTAATAGCCAGGTGACTCCATGGTCTGAGAGGCCTTCAACATTAGTTGAAATATATTTGTTTTGTATCGGGCAGCACGCAGCCCTGGGACTCGGGATGTGCTCCAATTGTATGGGCTTTCGGTATGCCAGTGCCGTTCTCTCTCAAAATACCAGCCTGGTCCATGAGTTAGACGTGATATAATAATTGACAGTTTTTAAAATGAGACAGTAGAATTAATTATGTGTCAAATATTCCTGACCCCCTTCTAGGGATAAAAAGTGAAGACAAGCATTTAATCTCTAACCCTTGCTCCTTTCTCTCTACTTTATCAAATGATCATTGTTTAAAACAAGAGGTTTGGAAATTAATACTACGTTCAATACTAGGAGTTTCAATTTAATTACTTTATCAAATCGTTAGGTCAAAAGACAAAATCAGGGTCTCTTATTGTTAGAATCCAAAAATTGTGATAAAACTTGGACATTCATTTCTAATAAAATAATGGAAAGGACATTCCCTAAAACACACAAACACACATACCTCACAACACAAATCTTAATTTTAAATAGTGAAACTCTAGAACCAATGATCCTATCAAAGTAGCAAGTAAAGTAAGAATATCCAATATTATTGCTATTATTTAATGCATATTGTAAAAGTGCAAATTTATCCAATTGGTCAAAAAATAACTAAATGTTAAAAATGGATGAAAAAAAATTGTCATTAAGTTTTTATATAGTTGTCTCCCTAGAAAATCCAGAAAAATCATCTAAGAAGTTGTATCACTTTAGAACAAGGAACTAATTAAAATAGTTGCCATTTGTATTAAAAATAGTCACTTGGAAAACATAAGTTAAAAATCCACTTCACAACAGCATCCAAGTATAAAGTAGCTAGCTGTAAACATAATAAGAAATCTGTAGAACAAAAATGAAGAAAACTACAAAATATCCCTGAGGGAATTAAAAAAAGAATTGATTCAATGGAAAGTCGGACCATGCTTCGGGGTGAACCCATAAGTTTAAGGTAAACTCAATAAAATTCAAAAAGGTACTTTTTAGGCACCATAAAAATTAATTCTAGTCCAGCTGAGTGTGGCTCAGAGGTTGAGCATCCCCCTATTATCCAGGCGATCGGGGTTCGATTCCCGGTCAGGGCACCTGCCCGGGTTGTCGGCTCAATTTCCAGCAGGGGGCGTGCAGGAGGCAGCCGATCAGTGACTCTCATCATTGATGTTTCTATGTCTCCCTCTCCCTTCCTCTCTCTGAAATCAATAAAGATATTTTTTAAAATTTTTAAAAATAATTCTAAATTATATCTATAGGAACAAAGAAACCAAAATTTAAGAAAGAGTGACAAAATAAAAATAGTGAGGAGAAAATATGCATCCAATTTTGGCATATGTATGCACGCAGCCATTAAAGAAAAAGATGAGACTGGCACTGAGTAGGTAGACAGAATGGGAAGAAATGGAATTCCCCCAAAATCGTAAGCGATGGTAAAGGCGATGTTACGAAGCAGCTGGAAATAACTGATTATTTCTTAAGTGATATTTAGGAAATGGACAACAATTGGAAGTTGAATATTTATTTCAAATGAATAAATGCTGGAAATAGGAAACATGATGTGTAAGAAAGAAAAAGACAGGTGAATGTAGATATCAACTTTGGGTAAGGAAAGCCTTGCTAACTAAGGATAATATTAAACAGGGAAAACATGATACAAAAGGTGCAACATTTATACTTGAGAACACAGCACAATCAGAACTGAAAGCGTGTGGAAACGTGGGGGAAAAATCTATGAAACAGGTTTGACAGCTCAAATGTTAATAACATTAAAAGATGAAGAGACTTCACAAATCAATTGCAAACTAAGGAATATGAATACAATTCCAAAGATTTTTGTTAGATAGCAGGTTTGCAAAGAAAAACAAATTATCAATACTTATTTAAAACTCCTAGCTTTCCTAATAATGAGAGAAATTGATATTTCAAAATGTGATTATATTTCACCTATCAATTTGTCAGTGATTTAAAAAATATATATTATCTAGAGTTAGCTTGAAGGTGAGGAAATGGGACCTCACCTGTTTTACTAACAGGTTATTATAGATATTTCTGATGGGCAATTTGTCAATAGGTATCAAAATCTTTTGATCCAGTAATTCCACTCCAGGAATTCAGCCTAAAAGAATAACTAGATATTTGGCAACGGTATGTGAAAATGTACTTGCTGTTATCAGACATTCTTAAGGTGGAAATTAGGAACTCTGTAGAATAAAATGCTGACATGAGTGAGTGGGGAAAAACTGGACATGTAATTTAGGACATGTTTAAAGATCAAAATATATGCCGAGAGCAAGTCTGGAAGGGTGTACAGAATAGCCGTGATTATTTCCGGCCACTCCGTTATCATCAAGTTATTTTAAATTGTATTTCCTCTTGCTTGTATTTTCTAATTTTCCTTCAAGGAGTATGTATTAATTATGTGGTGAGAGAAACTTATAAAACTCTTTGCAAATATAGTTTACCACCGTGAGGACGGCTGTGATTAAAACTGAAATCCACGAACAGCTTGTCCTCGGCTCCCACTTTCCCTGGAAAACTAGATCGATGAACTGAATTGAAAATTCAGATTCTGCCTCTTCTGAAGACTGTTACTACTTGACTACAAGATAAACAGATTTTGCAAAAGGAAGGAACTAGAAAACACAGGAGCTTTATACTGGTAATAAGGCGCGTTACACACCCTAGAAAGTACCCTCCCAAACCCTCAGACGCTTCGGTTATTTCCCTCATTTGGCAGCATCGCCTTGAGCCATCTCGGAAGCCTCCGTTGCCTTTCTTCCCTCCTTATCTAGAAAAATGGGGATAAAAATACTCAACATGCCCGCCTCCTAGGGCTGTTTGAGAAATTAGGTGACAAATTAATGAAGAACAAGACAGATGAGAGGGGCAGGTCTCAGCATTTCTTTTCCATGGCTCTTCTCTTATCCATTACACATCTCCTGTGTTTTCTGAGATGCCGTTCAGTCTGATATTTTCAGAGTAAATGCATCTCAAAACCTGGGCGGGTCAGCTCTGCATCTGCCCAAACAGCACCCTTCTCGATACTGACAGCCCAGGCGGGACGTCAGTGTTGAACGTTAGTATCCCCGGTGTCTGTCCCCGGACAACAGCAGGGTGACTGCCAGGGGGACAGGGGGCAGGGAGGTAGAAGAGGGTGGGGGGGTAAATGGTGATGGGAGGAGACTTGACTTGGGGTGGTGAGCACCCAAAACAGTACACAGGTGCTCTACGGTTGTATACCTGGAACCTTTATAATGTTATCACTGAATGTCACCCCAATAAATTCAATTTTAAAAAAAGATGCCCAGTGCTCACGCCGAGTTAGGCAAACGCAGCCCCGAGCGTTTGCATGGCACGGTGCAGTAAACGCTCAAGGAGGAAGGAGGCCGATGCTTTCCCTCAGCACGACGCCAGCCATTACCGCATGTTTTCTACGGGAAACGGCCTCGGCCCAGAACCTTGGTAGCTCAGTGGGCTATTAATAGGATGTGGAACGTGATTACTCCTTTTGGATCGCTTCAATATGTAATTACTTTTAGGAGCTGGTAGAAAGAAACTCTATTAAATGATAATTATAGGACTGTATTTGCTTTAAGGTTTCGTAATAGCTCTAAACACGGGAGTTTTCATTAACTGTTTGCCATAGTTAATAAAGTCATTTTTCTCAAAAAGTAGCAATTTCCTGCAAAAGTGGTGGCTCCGATCTAGGATGAAACTCTTAAATAGCAAAGGGCAGGGGGCACAGAGTGGGCAGCGGGTTGGCTCATCTATGGGAACATAATCTCCTTGAAAATAGAGACGGCATCCTTGAAGCTGGTGATAGTGGGACGTGCTTACAACTCCCTAGAGAACAGTGCACCTTGGTGTAATGTTTCAGAAGGTTAACAGCGACTAAATATTATTGCACACATAAAAACGAGACGACAAGGCCGATGATGGAGGTGATGTTGGCACGGCGAGGAAAGCCTCGAAAACACCCGCTGTTTCAGGAGCTGTCCGGGGATAAGGGGGGGGTGCGGGAAACAGATCCAGCAGTGAGGCCTCAGGTGAAAGTTGTGGGTTATACAAACACACAGATAAATGTCTGACCGCAGGTATTTGAGAAAACAGGTAATAAAAGAGGTGGTAGCATAAGAGGTCCATGAGAACACCCCACTATTGATGAAAATAATTGTATGTTGAAATTTGTTGTTGTTGTTTTTCAGTCATAAAACTGACGTAAGCCTAGTCTGAAACAATGTAGCCATCTACCAACCCACGGCTGATAGAAAATAATTTGGGAATTAAGAAAATTCCAGGAGTGGAGATAGGGATTGGCAGAAACTCAACGGTGCACACATATGGTAGAAAGTATGATAAAAACACTGCTATGCCGTCTTGGTCAGTTCAGCCCGGTGAACAGGAATGTCCACTGCATGCCAGGGTCCCCCTGCTTTGCAGAAACGCACCTTTGCCAAAGGAAATGCCTTCATGGCATCTGTGCACCACGGAGGCGCATGCGCCCCCAGCTGAGAATTACTCATCTACTTCAGCGCTCTGCAAATTCTCTCTAAGGGCCTTACGGGGCTCACGTGTGCACAGGAACCAGAGCCAACAAGTACAAGAAAAATCCTAGGTTAAATATAATAGTACTGAGCTCCAAGTAACGTTTCTGTTTCAAAATGGTGGAAATCATTTACAAAGTGCATCAGAGGTGGTTTTGTTGCGTTCCTTTAAAATGCATTTCTCTCCCTCTAACTTCCTTCACACCCTGGCTTTCGGGAGCATGTCCCCTTCAGAAAGCAAGGCATCGGGAGCGGAAATCTCTGTAACAGCACCTAGGACAGTCTACCCCCTAGTCTCATTTAATATGTGCTTGATTTAGAAGGGCCATGTTTAAATGCTCAAGTCAGCCCTGGCCTGTGTGGCTCAGTTGGTTGGGCACCGACCCGTGTGCTGAAAGGCAGCAGGTTTGATTCCTGGTCAGGGCACAGGATGGGTTTGGGCTTAATCCCCAGTAGGGGGCTTGCAGGAAGCAGCCGCTGAATATTTCTCTCTCTCTCCTTCTCCCTTCTTCTCTCTCTAAAAAATCAATTTAAAAAAATCTTTAAATGCTCAAATCAGTTCAAGAAGCAATAATAAAGTAGGTCAGATCATATCCCTTCAAATCCAAGAGGCACGGGGAACACTCCTCTGCTTTAATAATCACCCAGTAGGATGCAATGGTTACGGTGTAAGCTCTAATCCCTGAGGGCTGGGGTTTAAAATCTAGATCTAACTCCTCCATAGCTGATGGACTTTTTTAAATTTTATTTTTCACTTACAGTTTACATTCAATGTTATTTTGTATTAGTTTCAGGTATACAGCATGGCAGTTAGACAGTCATACAAAGTGTTTCCCAATATTTCCAGTACCCACCTGGCCGCATACACGGTTAGCACCCTGTCATTGACCATGTTCATTTATGACACTGATAATAGTGATGACAGTGAGGAGGAAAGCAATACTACTTGTTAGGTTAACGTAAGATCCTATCAGCCTGATTTCAGTCGCTGAGAGAGCAATCAACCTATAACCTAGCACACAGCTAGCCCATAACTTACGAAAACGTATGCACTCAGGAGGACGGCCTTTTATTCCTATGCCCGATGATGGCATTTGCCAGCCTGTTTTTACAGACCCGTATTGTCACAGGTTTATAGGAACAGCTGCAGACCAAAATCGCCTGGCTGGGGGTTCAAGAAACTTATTTTTTCATCCTGCCTCTGCCACCAACTCTGTCAAGGGACTGCATCAGTTTGGATCTATACAACAAAAGCAACCTGAAGGATCTGCCGTGGGAAGCAGAAAGCATTTGAGCCTCCCATGCTCCCTGTGGCCACGCGACGCTTTGTCCCGCCCCTGCCGCCAGTCATCCTGCAGCCACCTTCAGGGGTGCAGCTCTGTACCCAGCTACACTCATCCAAACTCTGCAATGGAAGCGAAAGCCAGCGGAAAAATCCCATCACCTTGCAAAGCTGAACGCATTGCTTTTAATGCTCTACTTGATATCAATATTCATAAAGCCACACTCCCCCCCAAGGGTTCATCAGCCTCTTAAAAAATGACAAGTGGAGTTGTTTGCATACCGGCCCTGTAAGCTTCCCCACTCGGTCTCCCCACTGCGTCACGAATATCAAGGCCAGCAACAGCGACAAAAGAAAAATAGAATTAGACTCACTCACTCCTAGGCGCCAACTGAGCCCATGTCTCAAAATAAAGACGGCGTTATTATTTCTTGCTTGCTCTTGGACAGAAAGGCATTGGTAGGATTGGGGAAACCATGGGTGCTCTGCAGTGTGCAGGCCATTTGGTTCCCACCCCGGCTTCTCTGAATGCACAGGGACCCTGGTACGAACCTCTGTTGTCTCTGACTGTGAAATTGGGATTGTGAATGATTTCAGGGGGTAGACTGAAGATAAATCTTGGTCCATTGGCTGTGTCATCCTTGTCGTCAGCACTAATTGTAACAATCGGCTGAAAGAGAAAGGTGGCCCATAAATAAACCATGCTGACATCGGCACATCATTTATTTAAAAATTCCTGGCTGGCTAAGAAACCTGGTTGGAATGAGAGAACATAGTTTCCAGAGCTAAACTGGGGCTCTGCAGCTTTCCTGGGCAGCGGCAGGTATCTCCACCTGATGCTCTCAAGACCAAACTCGATGCCCAATGCCTTGCTCATGGCCAGGGAAGGGGAAAGCAGTGTTACCTGGTTAGAGAGGGGCTTGGTCTGATCACTCTCACAGATGAAGCCTTCATATGGGGCAGCAAACTTGGGAGCGTTATCATTGACATCAAGGATCTTGATGGACACGGGGACTTTGGCTTCCTGATGCCTGTTGTCTGGAAAGAGAGAATTCAATCAGTGCCAGGGAGGAATCCACATTGGTCCAAGGTTGTCCCTGGGAAGGAATAAGCTCCAGCCACTTATCCAGGCAGTGTAGGGAAGGGCATTGTTGGATTGTTGGCATGAAAGGCACCTGAAGAGTGAAGTACGGTAGGTCCAGGGTGAGGGAGATGTCCTGAGATAAATGTCAGTATTAGACCAGTCAGAACTCAACCACTTTTCCATTTCTGCTGACTCTGATGCCGGGGTTATATTCTAAATGCTCAGGATAGAGCCTGGCACCCCTGAGTGTAGTTCCATAGCAGCAATTCTCAAACTGGGGTTCCCCAGAGCAGCAGCAGAACTATCTGGGAACTTTTTGGGAATGAAAACATTCAGGCCTCACCCAAGACCTACTGAATCAGAGGCTCTGAGGGTGTGATCTGGAAATCCTACAACAAGCCCTCCATGATATTCGAACACATGATCAAGTTTGAGAACCACTGGTCTACAGGTAAACAAGAACCCACAAATCTTGGCTCTGGGTTTAAACAAAACTGAGTGATAGAAAAAGTGGGGAATCCAACAGCAATGGTTATGAGTTTCAAGCTGCTGGGGGCTATGAGCTCACTTGCCAAGTCTGTACCTAGTTGTGCCAGAGAAAACAAAAACATACCTATGTATTTACTTATAGTACTAGAATCAGGTGTGGGGAACCTTTTTTCTGCCAAGGGCCATTTGGATATTTATAACATCATTGGAGGGCCATACAAAATTATCAACTTAAAAATTAGCTATGAAGCCCAGCCGGTGTGGCTCAGAGGGTGAGCATCAACCTATGATCCAGGAGATTGCCATCTGATTCCCAGTCAGGGCACATGCCCAGGGGGCGTGCAGGAGGCATCCAATCAAGGACTCTCTCATCATTGATGTTTCTCTCTCTCCCTCTCCCTCTCCCTCTCCCTTCCTCTCTCTGAAATCAATAAAAACATGCTTTTAAAAAAATTTAGCTATGAAAAAAGCTCTTAGATTTATTGAATTTCAAGTCCCGCCTGCGGTTGTATTGGCAGGGCCAGACCTATATGGCCCATGGGCCGGACGTTCCCCACCCCTGGACTAGATAGACAACCAAAATTAAATTTTAAAGGTTGAAAAACATGTTTAAGACTAAAAAATTTATTCTATCTCAGCTATCTGTCCCTTCCCAGAGTACACAGAGCCTGAAGGAACAGTACTTGGTAAGGCAGAATCAAAACCCCGCGAAGAGCACTTACGGATTTCTGCTGCAAACACAGATATGTTGAGCCAGGCGGTTTCCTCTCTATCCAAAGGTTTCGTAGTTTTAATAAAACCATCCTCCGGATTAATAGTGAAAAACCTGTCGAGGTCAGTATGACGATCGATTGAATACCTAAGCAGAATGCAAATGAGGCAATTAGAGGAGACATTCCAAGCAGTTTAATATGTGAATATCTTCTCCATGCTATATTTAAAGCAACTTTTTCAATGAGTTGCTTGAGTTGGGTTTTCTTTTTAATCAAATTTACTTTTCAAACTTCGTACGTACATGAATCTTTTATAGAAATCGTTTTGCCACAGTAGAATTCTTTATTCAGTACAATGAATGAAAGAGCTGTTCAGCATATTTGATTGAGAAGCATAATAACACGTTGCATGTTTCTCCATATTTACTACAATCACCCACCCTCTGAATATTTATGAAATTGCATTTGGGAAGTAGGTCTGCCTTGCTCCCAAACTATTCAGAAAGTCATAAAGGTATCAAACTTCGCCAGATTTTTGCATGAGAGATATTAAATAGTTCCCAGCTTATCTAAATTTATCATCAAGGATCATTTATGGTCCTAAAAATCAGCTTTCTCCTTACTTAAAGGAAAATACGAACTGCATTTTGAGCAAACTCGTTTATAGCTTGTTTGCTTAGTTTAGGGGCTCTCAGGTGTGGCACTGTCGGAGGCGTGAGAGATTCCTGCCGAGGAAGCTAAGAGGAGGGAAGATCTGAGGAAAGCAATTGGAAAGGAAAGTGTGTCTAATGCCACAGAGCCTAAGAAAAAAGATACACAAAATGCCCATGCAGCTAAGAGTCCAGGTGACACAGTAAGGCCTGACCTGTATGTCCAAGAACACAGGTTCCTTTAGAGGTGAAGATAAGTGATTAGGAAAGTAGGTAGCGAGGATAGGAGACCCCGTGAGTAAAAAGAGACCCAAGTGGGTGAGGGGGTGTGGTTCAGGGGGGCTGTTCTGAGCATCTCTGGCTAATCACGGACGCGGTATTTGCCTGCATGCACGAAACAGCTGCCACTTAAATATGACCCAAATAACCAATCGCAGAAATGGGTCCTCGGAGGCCACGCGGCGNGTTCTGAGCATCTCTGGCTAATCACGGACGCGGGATTTGCCTGCATGCACGAAACAGCTGCCACTTAAACATGACCCAAATAACCAATCGCAGAAATGGGTCCTCGGAGGCCACGCGGCGGAGAGGAAGTCAGCAGCTGCTGCGCGCGTTTACACAGCGTCACTCTTCTTAAAAGTCGCTAACACACCTTGCTCGCTATTCAAGACCAAAGCTAAGTCTTTTAGAATTCATACCATGAACATTTTTGAGTAGTTTAAAGGTGGTGCAATGACCCTCAGCCAGCATGTAATGCATCTTCCTGCACACAGAGAGCTCAGTGCTCAAACCTTTGCGGGAAATCTCACGAGTGCGGCTTGGCCAGAGTAGAAAGCTCAGCATGGACTCAGGATAGGTGTTGACTAAAATACCGACTGGCCACGCGCCTTTGAGGAATTCAGAGCATCGGCCTGAGCCTCAGTACGCCCAGCTGTGGGATCCGAAAGCAGTTAGAGCCTCAAAAAGTGTCTGAGTGTTAACTTGAACTTAGTGCAACATGTTGTTGGAACCAAGAAGATGCTCAATAAAGGGCGATTCTCTTCCTTTCTCCCAGAAGTAAAAATGTTCACGAATTGAAAGGCAATGGGGCCCTGGCTGATGCAGTTTAGTTGGTTGGAGCATCGTTCTGTACCCCAAAAGGTCTCAGGTTCGATTCCCCGCCAAGGCATATACCCAGGTTGCGGAGTCAATCCCTGGTGAGAAGGCAGTTGGTCAATGTTTCTCTCTTTCTCCCTCTGTCCTTCCTCCCTCCCTCTCCCTTACTTTCTCTCTGAATTCAGTAACAACATATCCTTGAGTGAGTACTGAAAAATAAATAAATAAAGGCAATGGAATATTGTTTACATTCGGAACTTCCTTCTGCTCTCTCAGCATTTTCTTTGGTGTAAATAGAAAAATTCCCTTGTCCATGACAATTTTTTGTCATGCTCAGGTCTGCACACCCAGGAGAGTGACCGGAGCATAGGAAGGCATTCCATAAGTTATAATTACTTAATTTATAATTAGTATTTATATTTCCCCTCAGTTCCCCGAGGCCCACAGGCCTAGCTGAGGGTGACATCGCTGGGAAATCTGCTCCAGAGAGAAATTACGTAACTTATTATTATTATTTTTTTAAATATACATCTTTATTGATATCAGAGAGGGAGGGAGAGGGAGAGAGAACATTAATGATGAGAGAGTCATTGATTGAGCCCGCAACCCGGGCATGTGCCCTGACCGGGAATCGAACCCCGATAGCCTGGATCCTAGGTCGACGCTCAACCACTGAGCCAAGCCCGGCCGGGCGAAATTATGTAACTTAAACAAGCCTATGGAAAAAGCCAACAGCAGACTCGAAGTAGACACCTAACTTCCAAATCTTAATCTTGTTCACATTGCATTGAACCCGACTGTCTTGGGCCCTTTTGAAACTGAAGGACATGGTTTCTGCGGGGCTTTCCTTACCCCTCTGGCCTCTAAAATTCCCCATCCAGGCTTTCACAATGACTCCGTCGTACCTTATCGGGCTGTTGGCAGCATCAGGGTCTTTGGCATGTACTCTCCCGACCACAGTGCCAGCGGCTGCATTTTCTTGGACTTCGTGAATGTAACTTGGGGCCAAGAACACAGGGGGCTCATCAGCATCTTCCACTGCGATCTTGACGGTCACTGTGTCCTTGAAAGGCCCGTTGCTTATGAACTTCGGGTCGATGTGCACATTGGCCGCCTCTACCTTCAGGCTGTACGCTCTCTTGGTTTCAAAATCTACGGGCTGGCAAGAAGGAAGAGAAGATTGGCAACCGATTCCTTGAAAGAATAATGAAGGAGAAAGGCCTGCTTGTTTCGCAGGGCACGGTGTGCAGTTCCTCAAAGCGAGAAAATCAGTGTCTATTCAATATCCAATTACCTGAGCCACTTGGTCAGAAAATCAGACAAATCAATGGCTGAACCTTGGGAGATGCTTAATGGGCAAGTCTAGGAGCACATGACCTGAAATGAACCTCATTCTATGTAACAACACGAAGGCTGCCAAAGCCCCTAAAAATCACCCACGATGAGGAGGAATTAAAACACTACAGAAATAAATGTTATAGACGATTCTGTAAAGTCCTGAGACTCTTGGTAATAAAAGTACCCACTGAATTCAGCCAGAGGGGTCTTATTAGATGACTGTCCCCCTCCACACATACACACCTCCGGCGTAATCCTGTTGACAGTCTCATTTTTTTAAGTTTCTGACCCTATAACCTTTTCCAAAGTCTGGGACCCTGACCGGCAGCGGCCCATGAGATGACTCAGGGAGGTTTATGAGCGATTTCGGTGGGTCGGGTTTGTCGGATCACATTTACTGAGTTATTGACACAATTATTCCAGTTCTTCCGCTTCTGAACACATCGAGGCTATCTCAGCATGATGCTGCGTTTTAACATATCCGATATGCTTCCTAACCTCCCTTTTGAGAGACCGCCACAACGCGCTAGTCAGACGATAACGACGCTATTTTGTTTTGACTGTGCTCACTTTTAGGATCCCGTCTATTTATGAGCAAGTCATAGGAAAATAAAAACAGTGCTTCCTTGTTATAAAAATGTATACATATAAAAATGTCCACTTAAAGAAAAATAATTATAAGCGACATAGATTTTACACAGATATGAGAAAAAATGGGACGTCGCATTTGAACGGCTGCGGTTACTGGGAAATGGACGGCAAACGCTCCCTCATTCTGAATGAGGCGATACAGTGAATCAGTGGGCAAAGGGTAGGAAGGAAAGCTGGCCCGGCCTTTGTGGCTCAGTTGGTTGGGTGTCAGCCCAGGAACCGCAAGGTCACTGGTTCGATCCCTGGTCAGGGCACATGCCCAGGTTGTGGGCTCGATCTCGGGGGGGGAGGGTGCAGGAGGCAGCTGATCAGTGATGTTTCTCTCATCACTGTTTCTATCTCTCTTTCTCTCCTCTCTGTCTAAAAATCAGTAAAAATATATTTTTTTAAAAAGTAAAACTGTAGCAGAGAAACAAGTCCTCCAGCCTGGGAAACAGGACTTTCTAATTAGCACTTTGGATGATGCTAAACGACCAAATGTTTGGAAAGACTTGGGTCTTTTGAGGCAAACAGCTGCCCTCTGTGCTGTTGTTGCCCGCGTGGCAGATGGGCGCGGGCACAACCGTAGGGTTTAGTCCTGACCCGATTCTACAAAACTCCAAAGGAAGGGTGACTCGAGTCTCAGGAAGGTTAAACACATCCAGCAGCCTGGACGCTTTCCTGTCATCTCCCCGCCTTCACGCTCCCCGGAGCTGGGGGACGCTCCCCAGAGCTGGGGGACGCTCCCCAGAGCTGGGGGACGCTCCCCGGAGCTGGGGGACGCTCCCGTTTCCTGAAGCAAAGCCTGCCCCAGCTGCTCCACCGTTCCGGGACTGGGCAGAAGGCTGGGTTACTGAGCAGCAGAAAAGAATGGTTTTACTTACAGTCTGAATGTATGAGATTGCTGACGTTTCTCCAAAATCTCTGAATCATTAGATCATTTTTTTTTTTTTTTAAATGGACGACGATAGTTCTGAGACCTGGGAAGTAGAACACTCCTAATCTCAGGGAGTCTGGATGTTCCTAGGGCAGAACCTTTGGCCTTGCTCTAGGATCAGGCCCAGAGCCGTGTCTCCAATGGAACGCCCTGCCCTGTTGGCTTGAAGGCTGGTACAGTCACGCTGTAATTGGATCGGTGCTTTTCAGAGCCCAAGCAAAACGCCCCAGATCTTTGCAAACATTTGTCTGGAACCCCCTCTCCTACACTGGTGAGATTTTACTAAGTTTTCTGGTGGTCAGCCCAAACCTCATTGCCTTGAAGAGTCCTGCTCAGCTCCCCCAGACAGATCAAGGGGGTCCCTTAGCTGCCCTCTGCAGCCCCTCATCTCCGGCCGCCGGAAGGTGGGGAGCATCCCGGGGCACCCTGCCGAGCCTTGCTGATTCTTGCTAACCCTCGCCTCCCTGCTGCCCAGGAACGCCTGTACCAGGTGACCGTATGCATCCATCGTCCCGACTAAGTGGGAAGCGGGGCGGATGGAGAGTGTGGCAACATTTACCTAAAACGTATTCCCACCTCCTTCCAAAAAAGATTTAAGGTCGTTGCCCGTGGGATCATTTATAGCCATGTTATGAGTAGCTGAAATAAAGCTAAATGAGGCAACACACTACATAAGCCATAAAAATCTGACTACCCCCTCGTTTGCCAATCCCACCTTGGAAAATTCTCCCTGAGGGACGAATTCAAGAGGAAAACAATATTCAAAACAGGCATGATGTTTGTTAGACAGAGAAGCGTACACACAAAACCCCAAATCCAACTGTGAGATTTTATTAAGGAAATAATGGTCCATCCATAGGATGGGATTTAGGCAGTCATTAAAAACGATTATGTATATTTTACATAACAGCGTGTAAAATGTTTACGATGGGACATTACGTTAACAAATCAGATGGCCCTATGATTGCAGCTGTGTTAAATGTTATATATCCACGGCCATATACATGTGGGCAAGGATATAAAGGAATAATTAGACCTAAAATGGTTATTGAAATAGAGAATATTTAAAATGCTTCCTAATGCTGCTCTCACACTGTTTTACAAGGAGTTTATTTGGTTGAAAGTGAGTAACTCAGTAACAGTGCCAGGATACCTCTGTGATAAACAGGAGTCCCACTTGGTCAGGGGTGTTGCTGTGAACAGATTGAATTTTCCCCCGGACGCCGACCAAGCCTGCGACAAGTTTCATCTTCATTTTACACTGGCTCCCCTTCAGGTCCCCACCCAGAGGTCCTCTGAAGAGCCTCAGGACCATCCTCTCTCTCTTATGCCCCATTCGGCCCCGACGCTTCCTGGGTCTGACACAATCAGTGCTCGAGAATTATTTGCTGCTTCCTAAGCGCTTCAATAAATGAATGGCTCTCCCTCCTAATATCTCTCGAACTCTCTGTCTTCCCCTCTTCTGCCTTCCCCAGTTCTTTGTAATTTCTCCCTTGAGTTCCAGCAACAGTTTTTCAGCTGGTCCCACTGTATCCATCTCGAAAGCCTCGAGAATGAACCTACTCAAGTTTCTTAAACCTGTCCTGTTTCCATCGATACCCGATTCCAGGGGTTCCTTCGTGAGCTCTTTTCCTGCCCTTCCCCTCTCCTTACCGATCTGGTCAATTCCTACTCATCTGTGGGAGACTCCGCTCATCGTAGATCTTATCACACTTTATTCCGGCTGGTTCTCAGCTGGAGAGTTCCTCTGCTCTGCTCACCTCGGGGTTAATGGGGCACGAGGGGTGGGGTGGGGCGGGGGGGTGCGCGCTCCCCGGCAGCTAGTGAGGGGGCCAGGGATGCTGCTAAACATCGCACGATGCAGAGCACAGCTCCCTGAAAGAAATATCATCTGTCCCGAAATGTTGTTAGTGCTGAGGCTGAGAAAACTTGCTGTTTCTAGTTGTCATTTCACGTCTCTGTCCTGTTAGGTTGTGACCTCCCTGTAGCCAGGACTCTGTCGCTTCAACTTTAGATGTTCAGCCACTCACACAGGTCCTGCCTGACAAATAATCAATAACTCTTGGTAGAAAAATGGGTTAATAAATCAAGAAATGAGGGGAAAAACTATACTAAATAAGACTTTTTAAATGACAAAAATATCTCCATTATCTCTCCATACCCTTTTATATTATTAAATCACATATAATGACTTCCGTGAGGACCCATCATTCTACTCTGTGACATCTGCCTCTGGATTTTTTTTTTCCAGTGGACATTTGGAACCATGTGCTACAAGTAGAAACGAAATAGCATCTTACTCTGTCTTAAACCTACACAGCAGTGCTTTATAGACTATCTGCCTTTTGCTTGGAATAAACACACTGAACTGGGGGGAAATGTGCAAATTAATCTTATGCAGAGAGCTCATTTGCGACGTGCAGGTTCCATGGGGTGATTTCAGTGTTTTAGGATTTGGGAGACAGAGTGTGTGTTTATGCCCTGAATACATGGAAAACAGGTGACAACCTTAGCATAACCAGCTACCCAATTACTTGAACAGTAAAGGACAGGAGGCAGAAATCGCTGATGTCAATGCTTGTATGTCAGTGTCAAGAAGGAGGAATAGTAACGTTAATTAACGTGCTAAGTTGACAGCTCTGTACTACACACAATTCGTACGGCACTTTTCCGGAGGAGAAACCAGAGCGAGTGATTCCCCCATCCCCTGTGGCCAGGCAGCTCATTGTCACTAACGTCAACTTTTCCACGTATCCAGAGCTCACCCCAATTCCATATTCTTTTACAACACAGTCACCCCTATCTTCTCTTTGTTCTGTGTCTCATCTTACTTCTCCCAAACCCAACAATGCCTTCAAATGTTGTGACAGGCCGCCCCCCCCCTAGAGCATCCCTAGAGCACATCTCTCCCTGCCCCTCTTACTGGAAGATTCCTCCCAGGAATTTCCCTCACCCCACCCTCGCTTTCTCCCCAGCCACTGGCCTCTTTTTTGATTCTTCAAATTAAAATTTTAGCAGTGTTACAGTCCTATCTTTTCCATCACACCAAGGAGCTTAATAGTCACACTGGAAAACACAAGTTGAAAATGAATGCTTGATTAAAACCAAGGTAATCCCATCATCCAGTTCAGACATGAGGCTCCACACGCTTTGACAATGGAGAGGTGTTGATTTCTCACATGGTAAATCAGGGGGGAAACCGTTTTAGGAGAGACTTCAGCCATTCCTTCACTTAAGTGAGTCCTAGCTGGCTCCCTTTTATGAGCTCTTTCCGGTCCAGCTCTTTCTAAAATGCCTTGAGAGGGAGGTTTGTTCAGGAGCACTGCAGGATTGAAACCCATGCCTGTGAGTTGCTAGCCTATGACAGTGATAACAGGGGTGAGCTATTTAATCTGAGCCCCAATCTCTTCATAGTTAAATTGAGGTCTCCTTGCCCATAGGGTTCATACCATCTACTTTTTGTGATTTTTGTGAAAAGTGAAGGAGAGAGTGTTTGGAAGAGGCTCCGGCTTTCTTTGGACTATTTTGAGTATTGGGGAAATGTTAGATTTTTAAAAACAAAGCAAGAGAAAAAACACAATAAACTTCCCATTGTCGTGAGTTAATCCCAAAGACACGTTGTTACTGACAGTTTAGCTGACTGTTGGGGAAGGACCGTTACTGCTGTTTCTTCGGTTCAGTTTTGAGAGAAAGTCACAGCAATGCAGTGGAACTTGGATGTTTGAGATAGAAGAATTTCTGATCAGCCGATATGAATGGACTGAGCTTGGCAGAGCCACAGGGGGAACTCCACACACTCTCAGGGCTGCTTCTCCAAAATCTAGATTCATCTAGCTGTCTTTCCTTCCATGGCAAAACTGTGCCCAGAACTAACCAGCCATCTCAGGCAGGCATCACACGTCTTCCTTGCTAGCTCCCCCTCTGGAATACAGTTCTGCTATTTCCCCAGAGCTCGGAGCTCAACTGCAAAATCAGGTCCGCTCCTAGATGCCCATATTTGCATTTTCTGACCTCCAGCTCCGTGTGTCCGGCCGCGTGGCCTTGGCAGAGCAGGCCATACCGCCGATACCTGCGATTCCTCCCCTCACTCACCTTTTTCAGCTTCACCACTCCCTCCTGTGTTTCATAGTCCGTTGTGATTTCGAACAGTTCCATCCCGTCCCCATCAACAATCGTGTATGTGACTAAGCCGTTTTCTCCAATGTCTGGGTCTTTCGCCTTCACCCTTCCGACCTCCTCCCCGGGGACAGCTGCTTCTGACACAGACATCTGGTATACGCCTAAAAGAGGAAGACATCTCGTTTTATTTTCCCTTTTACTCGTCAGCTGTAAGACATTAGATTCCATCGAATCCCAATGCATTTCTCAAAGGGTTTGAAATTGAACTTCCTATTGATTGAAAACATGAAAGGAAGTGAGTGGATGGAAGATCCCGCATGGCCTGCCTGTCAAAGAAATGTGTTCTAGAAAGAGTGATGAAACAGTACCGGGGTCCGAGACAATACAGTGGGGTCACCTGCCCTGCGAGAGCAGGGAACAGAATGCTCAGCCACATTTCCCATTGGCGAGTGACGGAGGACCGTGCCATCTTCAAACACGCAGACAGCCAAGACGTCTTTTCATACCTTTCAGGGCCATGGCCCTTCTAACTCTGTACCTGACTTTCCTATCTCTCTTCACCTCCTTCACAGTTTGATCCAACACTAGCTTCCCTGGAAAGGTTTCCCACGGTGTGACCCTGCCGTCCGTATTTATTTCATACTTATTGGGAACTTAATATGTGACAGTCACTGCCCCAGCCCCTGGAAGCTCAGGAGTAAATGAAATCGTCAAGATTGTTCCCTAAAGAGAAAACAGGAAATGTGTACACGCTCTGATGTCATTGCGAGGGGGAAGGAAAACACAGCTAGGGTCTCCCTTGCCTAGCTCGCTGTCTTTGGAGTCCTCTGAGCGACCACAGCACCTTCATGGGGCCATATTTGGTTCCTTCCTTGTTCTCTCGTTTGCAAAAATGGGTCACCTCTCGGGCTATAAACTCGTAGGCTCTGCCCGCTACCCTCCTAATGTAATGAAGACACGTTCGTGGTGAACGTATGTACACCAGCAGCACTGGCATCATTATGATCAAGCTGTACCTTTGCTATACCTAGACCCACGGAGGCAGATCTGTGTTCAAATGCTGGCTTTGCCGCATTCTTTGGGCAACTTCCTGAGCCTTCCGTGGAACCCAGTTTTACCTGTAAGATGTGGGCTCTTAGACAGATCTGCAGTAGTGATGACTGTTCTTGAAACCATGGTAGTTGGAGTTAAGCTTATTACTAGCAATCTTTCAAAATGATTTTTTTCTTTCATTCCCTCAGCAATCCTACACATTTTGTAGAAGGATGGACATACTCCCTCAGATAATCATGGCTAACATTTGTTGACAGCTTATGCCAGATATCACTAAGATTTTATACCAGCTCATTTAGTTCTGACAACATCCTGTTAATTCGGTCCTATGGAAGACCGTATTCTCCAAAAATGGCCAAATCATCTCCCGTCCCCCATGCTGTTTCTTTAACCTGACTTTGCCAGTCCTTCTGTTGAAAGGTGGGGCCTACAAGATCTCCACTTAAATTTGGGCCAGTCTTGAGACTACCGTGGGAATGATGCTGGGGATTTCTGAGGCTAGGTCACAACAGGCAGTACAGTTTCTGCTTGGTGTCCCTGGGGGTCTCGCTTTCAGATCTTATCCAAGCCACTCCATGGAGAGAGAGGCCCCAAGCCCTATGAGTGACCCACGTTGGAAGTAGATCCTCTATTCCCAGTGAACTGTCCCCAGATGACACCCTGGAAACAGAAACAAGCAGTCTCTTCCAAGCTTTGCCCAAATTGCAGACCTTTGACAAAAATAAACGATTATTATTGTTTTAAACCATGAAGGTTTGGGCCAGTCGGTTGCACAGCAGTAGATGACTAACTCAGGTACTGTTATACCCAGTTAGAAATGAGAACACTGAGTCAGAGACGGTGTCATTATTTACTAGACTGCATCTGGTAAAATACCAAGCAAAATAGACTTTCTCGGTATCGTGGGACTTTTTATGTCTTTCGTTTCTCCTACTAGATCTATTCCATTTCAGCTTGTATTTTTCTGTTGTTGCTGCTGGTCTTATTTTAGCTTTTTGCAAGAATGACATAAAGGCCACCCATTTTTCTAGACTTTTGCTTCCGAGTTGAGTAGAGCAGGAATGGGGGTCGGGGAAGCCGGCTGGCTGCGGCACCGTTGAAAAGCGAAAGCCAAGCCCACCTACTTACTCTGCGGAAACTTTGGTGGGTTATCATTGACATCGGTCAGCGTGATCGTCACTTTGGTTGTCCCTGAGAGTCCACCCATGTGTCCGCCCATGTCCTTGGCCTGGATCACCACGTGGTACTCCTCCTTGGCTTCCCTGTCCATGTTGGGAAGGGCTGTTCTGATGATACCTGGGCAGGGGAGCAGAAAACAGATATTCACTTATATATATAACAACATTATAACCAAAAAAGTGCTAGGTTCAGGGGTACAAAGGTGAGTGAGTCAGCACCTACCCTCACAGAAGAGCTACTTCAACATGATAATTATAACCCAAAGCAGCTGTACCTGGAGCATCGTATAGATGTACTTTCCAGTAGACTGTTATAATTATTTTTATTTAAAAAAAAATATATCTTTATTGATTTCAGAGGGAGGAAGGGAGACAGATAGAAACATCAATGATGAGAGTCATTGATCAGCTGCCTCCTGCACGCCCCCTGCTGGGGATCGAGCCTTTAACCTGGGCATGTGCCCTGACCGGGAATCGAACCTCAATCTCCTTGTATCATAGGTCGATGCTCAACTGCTGAGCCACGCCGGCCGGGTGAAACTGTCATAATTAATATAGCATTGAAATTTTGTTTTATATATTATATTTCAAGTGCAAGTAATAGCCTCATATTCTCAGGTATAACACATAAAGATCCCGAATATGGAAATATTTGAGGGTATCCATGAGTGAAACCACACTTCTGGATTGCCAGTGGAATCATTTGAAAGTCTATTCCTGCATGCCATTTTTAGAAACNTCAATCTCCTTGAATCATAGGTCGATGCTCAACTGCTGAGCCACGCCGGCCGGGTGAAACTGTCATAATTAATATAGCATTGAAATTTTGTTTTATATATTATATTTCAAGTGCAAGTAATAGCCTCATATTCTCAGGTATAACACATAAAGATCCCGAATATGGAAATATTTGAGGGTATCCATGAGTGAAACCACACTTCTGGATTGCCAGTGGAATCATTTGAAAGTCTATTCCTGCATGCCATTTTTAGAAACATTTCTATGGTCCATATTAGGTTAAAATCAGAAGGCATATGTTTCATGCAATACTTTAAAATGTTAATATTAAAACTTAAGAGTATACCAGTTGGGTTAAAAGTATACACAATGCTTAAACATTTACTCTACAATTACCTATCACTGATATCAATGATAAATTATGATGTAATTCTGCAAGATCCTTGGATATTAGCACATGATTTATATAAAAACCAGGCTCACTTAAATCTCTTGGGAACATGTGCAAGCTTTTTCCTTCTGTACGTATGGCAACATTTATAATGGAAATACAAAGAGCATCGTGGAAGCCTTAAGTCCCTAACTCTCTCATACCCCCCAATGTCTGCATGTTTCTCAGAAAAACCCTTGATCTCACTGTGCCCCATTCTCCTGATCTGTAAATAGTTTGATAAGTCCCTAACACAAAGAAGGTTGCAAGTAGAGTCCCCCACCAGTTCTGAGCATCTCAAGAGCTGAGATGAAATCCCACATTCATCCTTGGTTACACTGGGAAGGCTAAATGCNGCAAAGTAGAGAAGAAGGTTGCAAGTAGAGTCCCCCACCAGTTCTGAGCATCTCAAGAGTTGAGATGAAATCCCACATTCATCCTTGGTTACACTGGGAAGGCTAAATGCAAATGCTTTTGATGAAACCAAAGCAAGGAGCCCCATAAACTGTGATCTAAAGCAAAGTGGCTACCAATAAATGATGACACAGGTGAGTGGAAATAACATCAAGTAAATGAGCAAACTATCTGATTGGTAGACTGTGTGTATACATATAAACATAGGTGCATTGGATAAATTTTTAACTAACAATAAATGTGAATTATTTGTAAACATATATGGGCGTATTGTAGAAAAAAGGAGGGGGTTTAGGGGGTAATGTGGGGACATGGATTGCATGGGATTTTAGTGTGTATTCCAGTGAAAGGATCTTCACATCAAATTTGGCAGAGATGAAGTGAAACCCTTTGCTCTGGGTTGTTGCATTTGTTCATTCTCTTGGTTTGCTACTCGTTTTCTGTAAGAAATGAGCAGAAGCATCCTTCTGGATGCTCAGGCCCATGGGGCATCTGTCAGCGCAACAGAGGAGGCTGGGAAAGTGTTGGTTCCCAGAGGCACGTGAGCACTAGCACCCGACCCCAGCACTCTGCGCCCTGGCCTTCGGGATCGGCCAGTTTTATATCAGCCCTCAAGTCTGTAGTCTCTTCCTTTGGATCCACCATTCAATTTTAAAATAAAATTTAAATATTTTAAGATAAATCCTTAAAATTTAAGTTGACTTCTCAGACACAGTTTTAAGATAAAAAGCTGCATTTTAAGGTTATATTTATTGTGAGATAATTAAATATAGACAGAAACAGTAACACATACGGTTGATCGGATGTCAGGCAGGTGCACAGAGTCCCATACTCGCGCTAACCCTGGGAGTTGGCCCTTTTTGTATTTGAGGCAGTGGGGAATCAACTAGGCTGAGCGAGCAGGTCTGGGATCCTCACTCACAACGTGTCACAAGACACAGTGGCATTTCATGGTACCTGTCTGTGCTTCCACCGAGAAGTAGGGTTGTCCCTCGAGGATACTGTACACTAGTTTGGCGCTGTTCCCATAGGTGGGGTCATCTGCATCGGAAGCTGTCACTTGGATCACTGATGTTCCTTAAAAGGGAAATAGATTCATTAGCAGCAGCCCCTCAGCTTTTCAAATTCTATTCTCGTTTACAAAGTTCCACCTTAAAATTAAAAACGGAGGTTATCTAACGTGCTTTCATTTTCCTGGGGTCAAAATGCAAAATAGCCTCCCTCCCTCCCTTCCTTCCTTCCTTCCTTCCTTCCTTCCTTCCTTCCTTCCTTCCTTCCTTCCTTCCTTCCTTC